TACAAGTGTTCCATTGCCATTATTGATCTAGCTGAACATGAAAATCAACCGAAAACCACAAGCGAAGGCAAAGGAACCGAGCAGACCGTAGTGTTTAGCAGTGGGGTTATCAGCAAAATAACCAATTAGGACGTTTATTGTTCCTCGGAGCCTGCAGCTTCCTGTCGCGCCTGTAGCGGTCACGTTCATCTGCTGCAGAGCCGCTAAAAGAACCTGCGAGTACCCAGCAGTCAAAGACCAGGCCGAACTCTAGTCGCTTAGTTGGCCTTGCGAGCGGCGGCAACAGCCTTCTTAACCAGGGAGCTCTTCTGCTTGCGGGCGATCATAGCCTTGAAGCGGTCGAAGTCGTTCAGCTCAGCGCGCGTCTTCTTGTTCTGCAGCTTCTTAGCCCACGTGGAGGACTCCCACTTGGCGAGCGTGTCGGCCTTGGCAAGAGCCTTCTTAAGCGTCTTCTCGCGAGCCTGACGGGGGATGTCCACGGTCAGGTCCGTGAGGGACAGACGCTTGAAGTTAATCACGTGGCGGTTCACACCCGTGACGCTGAAGGGGCCGTCCACCAGGGCCTTGTTCTCGTCCACCACATCGATGATCGTGGCGATCTTGCCGGCGTCCGGGCCGTAGTTGATAAGCACCACGCGGCCGATAGAAACGAAGCGAGTGAAGGTCTGTTGTCCATTTTGCCAGCAACAGCGTCAGAGCGTTGGTCAGTATTGCCACCTACAGCGCAAGTTTCCTACGAGACGCACCATTGTTGCTGAGAGGAAAAACGCCAAACGAACTAATAAGTCTGGACGGCGGCACCCGGTCTTTTGCCCCAGCTTTTAGAACCAGTCATCCCAACCCTACCCATCGGCGTCAATTTTCCACCAATCACAATGTAACTCACATTCAATTCGGCGTTGTGATAGGTAGAAACTAATTTGATGTACATCACACAATGACTTATAGGTTGAAGACTCCCCATCCAACTGATTTCCGCATACTGTGTTTTGTAAGGTGGTAGGTGGCGACAGCGACCAACCAAAATCCACTCTGTGCGCCCGATTTTCACCTTTCAGTTTGGAAACTTTCATCGAGGAAGGATGCCGTTCGTTAAGGTCCTTAAGAACAAGGCGTACTTTAAGCGCTACCAGGTCAAGTACCGTCGTCGCCGTGAGGGCAAGACGGACTACCGCGCCCGTAAGCGTCTCATCACGCAGGACAAGAACAAGTACAACTCGCCCAAGTACCGTCTTGTGGTGCGTATCACCAACAAGCAGGTTATCTGCCAGATCGCGTACGCCGAGATCGATGGCGACAAGATTCTGTGCCAGGCCTCGTCGGCTGAGCTGCCCCGTTACGGCCTGAAGGTGGGTCTTAAGAACTACGCCGCTGCCTACGCCACGGGTCTGCTTGTCGGCCGCCGTGTGCTGCAGAAGCTCGGCCTGGACGAGGACTACGAGGGCAACACGGAGGTTGACGGCGAGATCGTCAAGACGGAGAGCAACGGCCGCACCTACTTCGTGGAGGAGGTCGCTGACGAGAAGCGCCCGTTCCGTTGCTACCTGGACTGCGGTCTGCGTACCACCACCACGGGTAACCGTGTGTTCGGTGCCCTTAAGGGTGCTGCTGACGCCGGTCTGGACATCCCGCACAGCGAGAAGCGCTTCCCCGGCTACAGCCGTGACGACAAGAGCTACGACGCTGAGGTGCACCGCGACCGTATCTTCGCTATCCACATTTCGGAGCACATGAAGGAGCTCGAGGAGGACGACCCGGAGATGCTTGCGTCGCACTACGCCGAGTACGTCAAGGCTGGCATTGACCCCGATGACCTTGAGGACCTGATCACCAAGGTGCACGAGGCCATCCGTGCCGACCCGTCCCCGGCCGCCAAGAAGGAGCACACCTTCGACAAGAAGTACAAGCGTGCTGCCAAGCGCTCGCGCCAGCAGCGCCAGGCTCGTGTGGCCCAGAAGAAGGCCCACGCCGCCTCCAAGCAGGAGTAAATCTTGTTCTAGGGGATTGTTCTAGCTACGTGTCATGCATGCAGCTT